CCGCCAAAATCGACAGGGTAGTTTTTAAATTATTCCAAAAAAGTAGGGGTAGTTTTCTACTGCCTCTACTGGGATTGAATATACTGTGTTCTCTAATACAACAAATATTAATTATTATAAGGTTTTATTTCTTAATATTTAATATTAATATTAATTATTACAAAACACGCTTTCAAATATTCCGCCATTTTAGTTACACTGAATTACACTGCACTTATTGAACTTAATCGAAAGCAGGTGCAACAAAATCTGCACTGACTTGCACCCGCTGCACGAAATTGCACTGCGCATGGCCCAACGAACAGTATGAGTGCAACTGCACTAAACTACACTATCCCCAACGAACACACAATATCTGCACTAAACTGCTTAGTGCAAGTAGTGCAGTCCCAACGAACAAAGCCCTGTATATTATAGGTTGTGGTTTGAACATTAACCCTACAGAGAATACGTGATTTTAATGTTACAGCAAAACACATAAGGCATAGGCCTGTCAGGCCCAACGTATTCACTGTAGGGTTAAGAAAGTCCAACTCACAATAAAATTATTGTCTCTTCAAAATCTTTCCATAATAATAATTTATATACATAAATTTGTATTTACAAATGACCTGAGATGTTATACACTAAATAAATAACATCTATTTGCTTTAAAGGAGTCTGCACATAATTAATTATATAAATAATAAAATTTATATTAATTAGGAAAATGACTTTATTTACTTAACTGAAAGTAAATTTACTGCATCATATATGCAGTTGACTCGAATATTTATAATAATAAACACTGACAATTCCACTAAAAAGTAGGTAAATATGTATAACCTAAAATTTAGACAAATAACTATATTTTACATCGTTAATCTTGCCTTTCCTGCTTCCTATAAGACTCTTTCAACAACTTTAAATTCTCCTCTAATGAAGCTACCTCCTCGAATCGATTAGCTTTTCTAGCCTGATCAATATAACTCCTTACTATATTCATTTGCTGTAACAACGGATCTTCTTCTTCATCTGGAATAGTTTCGTTTACATTAGAAGGTGACCACCCGGTTGTTACTGTAACTTTTCTTATATTAACAGTTGAGTGTCGTTCGGCGTCTTCTAATAGAGTATATCGGTTTTGTTTTGCTTTTTCTAATTCTTCCAACGTAGGGACGGCCGGCAGTGTTAGGACGAAGTCTTTTACATAATGCGTTATAGATCTTCTAATTGAATATTGTAACATTTGTAACTTTGACGAATCATCAACTGGAAGTGTAGCTATTGCTTGACTTATTGCGTCAAGACTTTCTATTTCTTTTGCTATTGAACCTTTTAATGCTTGTACATCTTGTAAATGGTATGTTGTATCTCCAGATGATAGTGATAAATGCATCTAAAAAAAATTTTGTAACAAAAATTAATTACTGGTGTGAAGTTATCCATAAATCCCAGCCATAAACTTAAAACATTAATAATTCCGTAACCAATACGATTTGGGTAACCAAATTTCACACACAGGTCACTCTTACCCTCAAGAACAGCTAACCACCCCCATTTGGTAAAAAAAAAATTTTTCAACCCTCACCCCCGAAAAAGGGATGTTTTCGCCCTGATGGGCACCTTCGAATTAAACGAAATTCTACCACATAATAGAACACACTTCTAAGTATTTTTATCAATTTTCAAAACACCGTAAGCCCTAACGGTTTTCGAGAAAAAAAATCAGTATTATAAACCGCGGATGGGACTTTAGGGGTGAATTTGACCCCGTTGGGCACCTCCAAAATTGACGAAATTTTAGGATGATTTAGAGGATGCCTTTAGCGATTGAAATCAACCATCCAAACACCGTAATGTATTACGGTTTCCGAGAAAAAAAATGTGTTATTAGACACTATAGGTATACAGCGCGGCGCGGACTTTGGGGGTGAATTTGACCCCGTTGGGCACCTCCAAAATTGACGAAATTTTAGGATGATTTAGAGGATGCCTTTAGCGATTGAAATCAACCATCCAAACACCGTAATGTATTACGGTTTCCGAGATTGTCTGAAATTTTAGGATGATTTGGAGAGTGGATTTTTGATAGAAAAAAAAACTTTTGATAAAGAATGAAATTTATTATATTAATGGTCTGTTTTACTTATAATTAAATTGTGTAATGGATTGAGAATATTATTATAATTAGTTGCTACCGCGTTCCAAACCGCTTCCAATCCTTGTTCATTTAAGTGAATGCCATCCCTGTGTAGAAATTTGTATTAAACACATAAGAAAAGAAAAATTTTCACGTTGTGTTACCCTTCCATCATGTTTCTGTTAACAATTGCTTCAATGTCGGTACAATTGATTTGCTTTTCAGCACAAAACCGTCGAATGTAATGATTGATTTCCTATAAAGGCATAGAGAGTATTTATTTATAGCATGACATAGAAATTATAATATCTTACGTTCACAGACTCGAAGTTTTTGCAGGGAGGAATTGTGCAAATTTGTATTCCTTTAGGATTTAAGGAAAGAAGGAAGCGGAAGAGGTGAGAATATTGGGACTTTAGTTGGGATGGTGATGTTTTGTGGAGTATATCGTTAGTTCCTATCATTATAACGATATGTCGTTCAACAATATCTCCACAAAACCAAGGGGAACATGTTTTTGGAATACACTTTGCGCGCCGCAAAAGTTTTAGTATTGTTTGACCGCCTACTGCTAAGTCGAGGAAATATTTTCCGTTGCTTGTCCGTTTTGATTGTCGTCCTAAAAATATATACCATTAGTAGGAATTAACTTCATATCTGTTAAAACAAATACTTACTTTGTATAGTACGTAGCATTCGGCAAAAATTACTATCGCCCAAAAACAGTAATTTCGTCGGCATCTTCGCTGGTCACTGGTTTTAACAAGAGATAAGCAGAACAACTGATCTCTGCAATAGCTGAGGAACCTTTATATATTATTAAGTTCTTACCTGTGTTACAGTAATATCGATGGCTATGATTGGTCAAAGCCGGTGTAAGTGTACTTACAATGCACTAACTCGTAAGCCACGTACCTGCTTAAGTGACCTTTTTACTGAAAAGAAGTTAAAAAGGAATTCCCTGTACATTTATTAACATCAAAAATAAGTTTCTGAATATCACTATTTCTTTATTAACTTCGCGCTTCTAAATGAAGACGTCGTTACCTCGCCAAATATTAATATATATATATTATATATTTAATTAAATATAACTATATTTGTAATTTATAATTTATATTATATATAAATATAATAACTTATTTATACACAATATATTATATACACAAAAATATTAACGAAAATATCGAAGCAGATTGATTCTAAAAAGAACCGATAAAATATCCATAAAGCGCGAACTACAGCAAAATATATCAACTAGTGATCTCCGTCCCCAATAGAATAGTTTAAGCACATTTATAAGTTTACTCCTCACCCTTCTGGCAAAATCTAAAAAATGTGTATGACGGTCTAAAACAACACCGAATAAGTCGGCAACTATTTTCCCGGAATGCACTTATAATGCAAAAAATATGGACATATTTTTTCCTTAATACCTGCGCCTTTTGTAACTGCACGTGGCGGAGTTCTTACCCTTTGTCAGTAACGACTAAAAGCCCCATACAACTACAAAATGCCTTTCTTAACAAAATTTATTTTTCCATGAAATATTAAGAGTTTCGCAGTTTTCATAATCTATTAAAATCGCTAAAGGTACATACTATCTGCTCTACATACGTGTACAATTTAATAACAAAATTTTTTCTCTGAAGCCGTTAAGGGTTACCGTGTTTTGACGGTAGATTTAAATCGCTAAAGGCATCCTCTAAATCATCCTAAAATTTCATCAATTTTGGAGGTGCCCAACGGGGTCAAATTCACCCCCAAAGTCCGCGCCGCACTGTATACCTATAGAGCAGAGATGCACAGACCGCGGCCCGCCGGCCGAATACTGGTGGCTCGCCGACAGCAAAAATAATATTCTCGTACATTCGAAAAATAATAAATATTAAAGTACTTTGTTTCTGTTGATATTGTGAGCGACGTCCATAAAACTGAGACGGGAGCTTATTGGTCAGCAAGCTATGTTTATAAAACCCATTCAAGATTCAGAAACAGCTACAGAAGTTAGTTATGAAATTTCTCGAATGATAGCAAAGCGAAGTCGCCCCTTCAATGATGGGGATTTTGTAAAAGAATGCATAGAAATTGCCGCTAAGAAAATGTGTCCAGAAGCAGCAAAAAAGTTTGAGAAAATTCAACTGAATCGTATGACTATCCAAAGACGAATTATGTCTTTGTCAGGTAATATTGCGGAACAATTAACTGAAAAAACTAAGATCATTGAATTTTTTTCATTAGCACTCGACGAATCCACTGATATTAGTTCCACAGCTCAACTTCTCATATTCATACGAGGTGTTACTCAAGATTTTGAAGTCTTAGAAGAGTTATTAGGAATGTGTTCATTGAAAGGTCAAACCAAAGGAGTTGATATACTCAATGTACTTTTGGATGAGTGTTCAAAAACTGATTTGGACTTATCAAAATTATCGGGAGTTGCGACTGACGGTGCTCCTTCGATGATTGGTGTCAATTCCGGGCTAGTTACTTTGCTGAAAAAGCATCTGCAAGAAAAAAACATAAACGCTGAAGATCTCATGCAGTTTCACTGCATTATACACCAAGAAGCCCTCTGTTCAAAAAAAATTGAATTTCAAAA